GGTCCGGGGAGAGCGGATATAGTGAATGCGGGTCCGGGGAGACCAGATATAGTGAATGCAGGGTCCAGGGAGAGCGGATATAGTGACTGCAGGGTTCGGGAAGAACGGATATAGTGAATGCGGGGTCCGGGGAAAGCAGATATAGTGAATGCAGGGTCCGGGGAGAGCAGATATAGTGAATGCAGGGTTCGGGGAGAACGGATATAGTGAATGCGGGGTCCGGGGAGAGCGGATATAGTGAATGCAGGGTCCCGGGGAGAGCAGATAGTGAATGCAGGGTCCGGGGAGACCAGATATAGTGAATGCAAGGTCCGGGGAGAGCGGATATAGTGAATGCAGGGTCCGGGAGAGCGGATATAGTGAATGCAGGGTCCGGGGAGAGCGGATATAGTGAATGCAGGGTCCGGGGAGAGCGGATATAGTGAATGCAGGGTCCGGGGAGAGCGGATATAGTGAATGCGAGTCCGGGGGAGACCGGATATAGTGAATGCAGGGTCCGGGAGAGCGGATATAGTGAATGCAGGGTCCGGGGAGAGCGGATATAGTGAATGCAGGGTCCGGGGGAGAGCAGATATAGTGAATGCAGGGTCCGGGGAGAGCAGATATAGTGAATGCAGGGTCCGGGGAGAGCAGATAGTGAATGCAGGGTCCGGGGAGAGCAGATCTAGTGAATGCAGGGTCCGGGGAGAGCGGATATAGTGAATACGGGTCCGGGGGAGACCAGATATAGTGTGAATGCAGGGTCCGGGGAGAGCGGATATAGTGAATGCGGGTTCCGGGGGAGAGCGGATATGTGGATTGCAGGGTCCGGGGAGAGCGAATATAGTGAATGGGGGGTCCGGGGAGAGCGGATATAGTGAATGCAGGGTCCGGGGAGAGCGGATATAGTGAATGCAGGGTCCGGGGAGAGCGGATATAGTGAATGCAGGGTCCGGGAGAGCGGATATAGTGAATGCAGGGTCCGGGGAGAGCGGATATAGTGAATGCAGGGTCCGGGGAGAGCGGATATAGTGAATGCAGGGTCCGGGGAGAGCGGATATAGTGAATGCAGGGTCCGGGGAGAGCGGATATAGTGAATGCAGGGTCCGGGGGAGAGCGGATATAGTGAATGCAGGGTCCGGGGACAGCGGATATAGTGAATGCAGGGTCCGGGGACAGCGGATATAGTGAATGCAGGGTCCGGGGACAGCGGATATAGTGAATGCAGGGTCCGGGGACAGCGGATATAGTGAATGCAGGGTCCGGGGAGAGCGGATATAGTGAATGCAGGGTCCGGGGAGAGCGGATATAGTGAATGCGGGGTCTAGCTAGCTGCCTATAAGGCATCTTGGTGGATCCTGACATTATTGTCAAGATCCTCTCAGGTACCAGAGCGGTTCTATGATATCAGCTGACCGCAAGTTTTACCCGGTATCGGCTAATTCTGGGTCACAGGAGTGCAAAAGTAAGTGCACTCCTGTGACCCACAAGAGAAATATGGCCACAAGATTTTTTGGCCATACTTCACTTTTCAATAAAGCGGCAGTTTTTTTTTTCTGCTGATTACTAGGCAATGAAAGCACAAATGCGAAAATGGACATTTTTGCATTCAGGACAGCATTGTGATTTAGCCCGTTGTGTTGTTTCATGACCAGAGAAGAAAAAAGAAAGGAACCGACACAATTTCCTCTAGAATATTTTATTACGTCTTGTTCCAAAGGTTGCAGAATACATTATAATCCCTTCCTGCCAAGAACAGATGGAAAACATTCCGTCAGGTTACACAGTCATTAACCCCAAAGTACAGAACCTCCGTGTCTGACCGCTGCTGGCTTCAGGACTAAACTTTAAGCAGGGCAAAGACGGGTCCAAAACCGGCTGGTTTGAAAAAAAAAAAAAAAAAAAAAAAAAAGAAAATCGGTCGTTCGTTCGGCCGACGTTACCACCAACGGTAAAAAAATTGGAGGAAGGAGGAAGAGGAGGAGGAGGAGGAGGAGGAAAACAGAAGGAAGGGAGGAGGAGGAGGGAAGAGGAAGGAGGAGAGGAGGAGGAGGGGGAGGAAGAGGAGGAGGAGGAGGGGGAGGGAGGAGGAAGAAGAAGAGGGGGAGGAGGAGGAGGAAGGAGGAGGGAGGAGGGGGAGGAGGAGGAGGGGGAGGGGGGGGAGGAGGAGGAGGGGGGGAGGAGGAGGAGGAGAGAGAGGGAGGAGGGGGAGGAGGAGGAGGAGGAGGAGGAGGAGGAGGGAGGGAGGAGGAGGAGGGAGGGGAGGAGGAGGAGGAGGGGGAGGAGGAAGGGGGAGGAGGGAGGAGGGGGGAGGAGGAGAGGGGAAGGAGGAGGAGGAGGGGGGAGGAGGGGGAGGAGGAGGAGGAGGGGAGGAGGAGGAGGGGGAGGGGGGGAGAGGGGGAGGGGGAGGAGGAGGGAGGCGGAGGAAGGGGAGGGGGAGGAAGAAGAAGGGGAAGAAGAGGAAGAAGGGGAAGAAGAGGAAGAAGAGGAAGAGGAGAAGAAGAAGAAAGAGGAAGAAGTAGAAGAAGAAGAAAGAAGAAGTAAAGAAGAAAGAAAAGAAAAAGAAAAAGAAAAAGAATGAGAATTTCAGTCCACTATTATATTTTATATGAAAAAGTCTTGCGGTTGCAACAATGTACCCATTTGTATCCATTTCGGACACAGATGTTTTTATTTGGATACAAATGGATACATTGTTGCAACTGCAAGACTTTTTCATATAAAATATAATAGCGGACTGGAATTCTTATTCTTTTTCTTCTTCTTGCAGGTCACGGCTCATGCGCAAATTTTTTTATCCATAAAACAATCGGCTGATTTGCCCATCATTGCCGGGAAAATAAGCCGATCGTCAAAATCGGCCGCAAATTTTCCAACATGCCCAATAAAAAAAAATTTGCAAAAATCCCGAAAAATGGGCAACCAATTAACCCACTAACGGTGCGAAAATCGTCTGATTTTCGACCCGTCTATGGCCGGCATTAGCCTTGGTTCACACTGATGTGAATTGTCATGCGACTTGACAGTTCAAATCCAATCCAAAAAAAAAAAGAAAAAAATCCAAACGACCATCACCAGAACTGTTCTAATCGGTGCGCCTCCGACTTAGTAGTTCCTGCACCGCATGAAGCACCACAGATGTCTATGAAGTCGCAGCGCCATCCCACTTTGAACTTGTGCAACTTCATATGAAATGGGACTACGATTTCAAAGTCAGAAGCAGTGTGAATCGGGGCTTATGCCGGCTATACACGGGTCGATTTTCAAACGATTTTGGACCTAAGAATAATCGGCCGATTTTCACTCTGTTAGTGTGGCAATGGCCGATTTTCGTGGTTCCCCCCCATTTCGTTTATCGGGCATGGTGGAAAATTTGTGAAAAACGACCGATTTTTTCTAAATCATTGGTGACACCATCAGGTTACAGAACGAACAATGTTTTCGATTGAAAAATCGTTCAGAATTCGAGCCATGTATGGCCTGCTTTAGACATTGGTAGAGTGGTGGACAATCCGATACTCGTTCACAATTGCATTAATACGTAAAATAGAATTCCAATTTTTGTTTCCCTTTAAGCCCGGGTTCACACTGATGCGGTGCAGAATTTGCAGCGTTTTCAGTACCAATTCCGCACCGCATCAGAATCGCACCTCGTTCATGGGAACCGCTGCGGGTGTGTATTTTAACCACTTCATGCCAGCGCCCCCTGGCTCCTTAAAGCGGGAAGGCGGGGTGGGGTTTTAGGGTCATGTGACCGCTGTGATTCGCCGTCACATGATCAGAAAAGGTCCCGATCGAAAGGGGAGATCGGGACCTTTCCGTGAGTCACGGACGTATGTGCTGGGCGTGCGCTCTCAGCACATATGTATTTTCTAATTGCACGCAAATATGCAGCCGCTCGGCGTCAAGGCCCAGACCCCGCGAGGCCGCATATTTGTGTGCGCTCGGCGTCAAGGGGTTAAGTTTTCCACTGTGTCCGGGGGACATAGCGGGCACCGGATCGCGGTACTGCGCGCTCCTAGGCAGTGCGCACAAGCAGGGGGCAGGGAGGCCGTTTATAAACGTCCACCCGACCCTGCACTGCCACCATCTGGCCGTTTATATACAACAGCTGGACGGGAAGTGGTTAAAGGTCACATTTTGACCTCTTCATCTCCAATCCTATATTCTCTGGTATTCCATACACCAACCTACAGGCATACATTACAGAACTCCTATCTTGGAATGCTCCCTTCCAGGCAGGGGTAGGCTGACAACTCATGGGGCCCCCCGGCAATAGGGGATCATGGGACCCGTGTCCTTACCCACACGCAAACCACACCCAAAAAAAGCCTATGAAAGGTACCAGGGGCATCTCATGGCGGCTGGTGGGACAGACTTCTGACCATGTGACAGCACAGTGGCTAAATGGTTAGCACTTCCTCCTGGCAGTACTTGGGTCGTTGGTTCGAATCCCAACCACGGCACCACCTGCCTGGAGTTTGCATGTTCTCCCTGTCCCAGGGGCGGACTGACAACTCATGGGGCCCCCGGGCAATAGGGGATCATGGGGCCCCTGTGTCCTTACCCAAACTCAAAAAAGCCTATGAAAAAGGTACCAGGGGCATCTCATGGGGCCCCCTTCTGACCCTGGGACCTCGGGCAGTGGCCGAGCTCCCAAATGGTCAGTCCGCCCCTGTTTCCAGGTATATAGCCCAAATATATATGAACAGCATCCAAATCTTACAAACCATCAAGGAAAACTAGAACATCCCAATCCAGCACCACACCCACAACAAAAGAACAGCAATAAAAACCTGACGGAGGTTCAATCCCCTCCCTACTCTAACCAAACATATGTCCTGTCCGGAGTTGGGCTTTAAGGCCTCCATCTTACATTTAAAAAGGAACCTAAAAATCAGTTCTTCTTTGGTTCATGCCTAAAAAATGTGGGAAAAAAAAAAAAACAACCAAAAAAAACTTCAGACCGGCCATATGGATGCCCCACATTGAAGAATACACCGCCGGTCCTTTATGGGGGTCTACCAGTGTGCATCCCTCTTCTCAGCCACGATCTGGATGAAGTGGGCGTGGTTGGCGTACAGGCTGCGGGTCTTGTGGATATCCGCCCACCGCACTTTTCCGGCATCGTCACCCGCTTCTAGGGCCAGCTGGTCTAATATTCCGCCTGTCACACAAGAAAAACATGGACGTCAGCGGAAAGAAGCACCCGGAGGGGAAACGTGCGTTGGGTGTCAGTGTTCCCACCTGTGTCATCGTGGTAATTAACCGCTTGTGTCTCCATCCAGGCGTTGTCAGTGTTCCGAGGGTCATCCACGTACCCCTTGTAGATCTGTCAATCACACAGCCGTTAGAAAAAAAAAACGCAGTACAAGAAACATCAGAAATAAAAATATATACAGTGAAGGAAATGCGTATGGCTGAAAATGGGGATGACTGATCTGCATGTTCATGAGGGAAATAAGTATTTGATCCCCTATCATTCAGCAGGAATTCTGGCTCCCAGGTGTCTTTCATACAGGTAACAAGCTGAGATTAGAAGCATCCTCTTAAAGGGAGTGGTGCTAATCTCATTTTGTTACCTGTATACAGTGAAGGAAATGCGTATTTGCTCCCCGGCTGATGTTGAATGTTCGCCCCTCACACAGAAATGATCGGTCTAAAAATTGAATGTTCAGTGTATTGTAACACCGAGAGACAGAATACAACAACAAATTCAGCAGAAATGCGTCTAACAAATGATGACTGATCTGCATGTTCATGAGGGAAAGAAGGATTTGATCCCCTATCATTCAGCAGGATTTCTGGCTCCCAGGTGTCTCTCATACAGGTAACAAGCTTAGATTAGAAGCAGTCTCTTAAAGGGAGTGCTGCTAATCTCATTGTGTTACCTGTATTAAAGACACCTGTCCACAGGAGCAATCAAACCATCAGATTCCAAACTCTCCACCATGGCAAAGACCAAAGAGCTGTCCAAGGATGTCAGGGACAAGATTGTAGACCTACACAAGGCTGGACTGGGCTACCAAACTATGGCCAAGCAGCTTGGTGAGAAGGTGACAACAGTTGGTGCAATCATTCACAAATGGAAGAAACACAAAACAAGTGTCAGTCTCCCTAGGTCTGGTGCACCATACAAGATCTCACCTCGTGGAGTGTCAATGATCATGAGAACAGTGAGGAATCATCCCAGAACTACACGTGAGGATCTTGTCAATGATCTCCAGGCAGCTGGGACCACAGTCACCAAGAAAACAATTGGTAACACACTACGCCGACAAGGACTGAAATCCTGCAGGGTAAACATTCAGAATCAGCCGGGGATCAAATACTTATTTCCTTCACTGTAACAACATATCCCAAGAAGGAACAGCAAACTGTCAGTCAGCACTGATCGTAGACAAGAGAAAGGAAACTTAAAGTGCAACTCAAAGCTCCCCCGAAACACTTTTATGACCGGTCTTTTCTGCCATTGGATTCATTATGCATCTTCCTGTAACAGGCCAAGCTGTCCAGCCAAACAGGACCAAAACAGCAGGGGGTTGGACCTTTTATGTGGGTCCAAAAAGGATCAACTAACTGTTGCTATAACCCGGGAACTCAGCACAGGGATGGTGGGAACCCTTCATAATGGGCACAGCGGGTGTACAGACCCGGGAACTGAGCACAGGGATGGTGGGAACCCCTCATAATGGGCACAGCGGGGGTACAGACCCGGGAACTCAGCACTGGGATGGTGGGAACCCCTCATAATGGGCACAGCGGGGGTACAGACTCGGGAACTCGGCACAGGGATGGTGGTAAGCCCTCATGAATGGGCACAGTGGGTGTACAGATATGGGAACTCAGCACAAGGATGGTGGGAACCCTCATGATGGGCACAGCAGAGTTCAGACCTGGGAACTCAGCACAGAGATGGTGGGAACTCCTCATGATGGGCACAGCGGGTGTCCAGACCCGGGAACTCAGCACAGGGATGGTGGGAACCCCTCATGATGGGCACAGTGGGTGTAAAGATATGGGAACTCAGCACAGGGATGGTGGGAACCCCTCATGATGGGCACAGTGGGTGTACAGATATGGGAACTCAGCACAGGGATGGTGGGAACCCCCTCATGATGGACACAGTGGGTGTACAGATACGGGAACTCAGCACAAGGATGGTGGGAACTCCTCATGATGAGCACAGCAGAGGTTCAGACAGGAACTCAGCACAGGGATGGTGGGAACCCCTCACAATGGGCAAAGCGGGTGTACAGACCTTGAAACCCAACCCAAGGATGCTAGGAACCCCACAAAGGGCACAGCAGTGTGCGCACCTGAAAGAGTCCCCAAAAGATAGAAGAGCCTGTCAGGGGGGTGTGAACTCTCCAGCCCCCAAACACTAACTTTGGGTAGACTGGCCCTTTAACGGGGACCAGAGGTGTTCATATCACACACTGGGTTTCAGTCACCATACACAAGGATACAGGTTTCTATGATTGCAGGTAGCAGCGAATCACAATGAAAAATGCTGCGATAACTAACCCAACACCCTAACAAACCACCAATCACGTTCCTCACAACATCCCCATAGATTACAATCATTGTACACAGGGCGTTGCTAGGATTGTGAAAGACCCGGGTCACCTGTGGGAAGAAGGGTGGTGGGTGTGCCTGCTAGCTGTATACACAGCACACCCCATCGTCTTTACACCCATAAAATAAGTTTTACATTTTGTGCCACAAGTGAGAGTCTAATGCCGGCCATAGACAGGTTGAAAATCGGCTGAACGGAGATGCACGATGCACAGAATGCAGGGGTCAGGAGTATGTAACATAGAGGGCGCAGGGGTCAGAAGTATGTAACATAGAGGGCGCAGGGGTCAGGAGTATGTAACATACAGGGCGCAGGGGTCAGAAGTATGTAACATACAGGGCGCAGGGGTCAGGAGTATGTAACATAGAGGGCGCAGGGGGTCAGGAGTATGTAACATAGAGGGCGCAGGGGTCAGAGATTTACAAAGCACAGAATGCAGGGGTCAGAGATTTACAAAGCACAGAATGCAGGGGTCAGGAGTAGGAGGGTTGGGAACATGAAGCAAAAAAAAATGGCTCTGGTCAGGAAAGGGGGTAAATCCTCTGGAGGGCAAGTGCTTAATTAAGCCTATAAAACTTGCATTAGCATTAGGCTGGAGGGCTCTACAGGTCAGTCCTTTGGTGCCTCCCACTACTCTAGAAGTGTCCGGAAGGGGGGGGGGGGGGGGGGAAGTGTCCGGCCTGGAAAGGGGGGGGGGGGGGGGGAAGTGTCCGGACTGGAAGGGGGGGGGGGGGAGGAAAGTGTCCGGACTGGAAGGGGGGGGACGGGGGGAAAGTGTCCGGACTGGAAGGGGGGGGTGACGGGGGGAAAGTGTCCGGACTGGAAGGGGGGGGTGGCGGGGGGAAGTGTCCGGACTGGAAGGGGGGACGGGAAGTGTCCGGACTGGAAGGGGGACGGGGGGGGAAAAGTGTCCGGACTGGAAGGGGGGGAAAGTGTCTCCGGACTGGAAGGGGGGGGAGTGTCCAGACTGGAAGGGGGGGGGGGGGGAAGTGTCCAGACTGGAAGGGGGGGGGGGGGGGGGGGAAGTGTCCGGCCTGGAAGGGGGGGGGGGGGAAGTGTCCGGCACTGGAAGGGGGGGGGGGAAGGAAGTGTCCGGACTGGAAGAGGGGGGACGGGGGGGGGAAAGCGTGTCCGGACTGGAAAGGGGGGACGGGGGGGGAAAGCGTCCGGACTGGAAGGGGGGGACGGGGGGGGAAAGCGTCCGGACTGGAAGGGGGGAAAGCGGGGGGGGGGGGGGGGGAAAGCGTCCGGACGGGACTGAAGGGGGGGACGGGGGGGAAAGCGTCCGGGACTGGAAGGGGGGACGGGGGGGAAAGCGTCCGGGGACTGGAAGGGGGGACGGGGGGGAAAGCGTCCGGACTGGAAGGGGGGGGGGGGGGGGGGTCGGGAAAAAAAGCGTACCGGACTGGAAAAGGGGGGGGGGGGGGGGAAAAGCGTCCGGACTGGAAGGGGGGGGGGGGGGGGGGAAAAGCGTCCGGACTGGAAGGGGGGGGGGGGGGAAAAAAAAAAGCGTCCGGACTGGAAGGGGTGGGGGGGGGGGGGGAAAGCGTCCGGACTGGGAAAGGGGGGGGGGGGGGAAAGCGTCCGGACTGGAAGGGGGTGGGGGGGGGGGGGGGAAAAAAAGCCCGTCCGGACTGGAAGGGGGGGGGGGGGGAAGCGTCCGGACTGGAAGGAAGGGGGGGGGGGGGGGGGAAAGCGTCCCGGACTGGAAGGGGCGGGGGGGGGGGGGAAAGCGTCCGGGACTGGAAGGGGGGGGGGGAAAGCGTCCGGACTGGAAGGGGGGGGGAAAGCGTCCGGACTGGAAGGGGGGGGGGGGGGGGAAAAAAAAAGCGTCCGGACTGGAAGGGGGGGGGGGGGGGTGAAAAAAAGCGTCCGGACTGGAAGGGGGGGGGGGGGGGGGAAAAAAAGCGTCCGGTACTGGAAGGGGGGGGGGGGGGGAAAAAAGCGTCCGGACTGGAAAGGGGGGGGGGGGGGGTGAAAAGCGTCCGGACTGGAAGGGGGGGGGGGGGGGAAAAGCGTCCGGACTGGAAGGGGGGGGGGGGGGGAAAGCGTCCGGACTGGAAGGGGGGGGGGGGGGGGGTGGAAAAGCGTCCGGACTGGAAGGGGGGGGGGGGGGGAAGTGAAAGCTGTCCGGACTGGAAGGGGGGGGGGGGGAAAGCGTCCGGATGGAAGGGGGGGGGGAAAAGCGTCCGGACTGGAAGGGGGGGGAAAGCGTCCGGACTGGAAGGGGGGGGGGAAAGCGTCGGACTGGAAGGGGGGGGGAAAGCGTTCCGGACTGGAAGGGGGGGGGAAAGCGTCCGGACTGGAAGGGGGGGGAAAGCGTCCGGACTGGAAGGGGGGGGGAAAAGCGTCCGGACTGGAAGGGGGGGGGAAAAGCGTCCGGACTGGAAGGGGGGGGGAAAGCGTCCGGACTGGAAGGGGGGGGGAAAGCGTCCGGACTGGAAGGGGGGGGGGAAAGCGTCCCCGGGACTGGAAGGGGGGGGAAAAGCGTCCGGACTGGAAGGGGGGGGAAAGCGGTCGGACTGGAAGGGGGGGGGGTAAAGCCGTCCGGACTGGAAGGGGGGGGAAAAGCGTCCGGACTGGAAGGGGGGGGAAAGCGTCCGGACTGGAAGGGAGGGGGGGGGAAAGCGTCCGGACTGGAAGGGGGGGGGAAAAGCGTCCGGACTGGAAGGGGGGGGAAAGCGTCCGGACTGGAAGGGGGGGGGGAAAAATCCTGGCGTGCGGACTGGAAGGGGGGGGGGGTAAAGCGGTCGGGCACTGGAAAGGTGGGGGGGGGAAATAGGCGTCCGGACTGGAAGGGGGGGGAAAGCGTCCCGGACTGGAAGGGGGGGGAAAGCGTCCGGACTGGAAGGGGGGGGAAAAGCGTTAAGGTCCGGATGGAAGGGGGGGGGAAAGCGTCCGGACTGGAAAGGGGGCGGGGGAAAGCGTCCGGACTGGAAGGGGGGGGAAAGCTGTCCGGACTGGAAGGGGGGGAAAGCGTTCCGGACTGGAAGGGGGGGGAAAGCGTCCGGACTGGAAAGGGGGGGGGAAAGCGTCTGGACTGGAAGGGAAATTCGAGGGGGGGAAGTGGTCCGGACTGGAAGGGGGGAAAAAGCGTCCGGACTGGAAGGGGGGGGGGGGGGGGGGAAGTGTCCGGACTGGAAGGGGAGGGGGGGGGAAGTGTCCAGCGGTGAAGTGGTTAAACGTTTGCATAAGTTGCTTCAAGTAGAAAACATACATTTGGTGACCGGTTCACTTTAGGCGTGGCCGCTGTGACCTGGCCCGGTGCCGTACACCACGTGTTTGCCTTTGTCTGATGGAAGGGGTGTGACGTACCGGTAAATGCTCCCGTGAGAAAAAAGGCTCTGAATCCTCTCCTGAGAGTCCTTCTTGTCACCCGTACTCTCCAGAGAGTTCAGAGCCTCCTCGCAGAACTCCCTGCGCAGTGTCGCCGTGATCACCTCTCCAGGATCCACCATCCCCTGCAAGGAGGAAAATAAAACAAAAAAAACATCAATGACGTCCTCACAGTGAAGACTGGGGAAAAGAAACATGAGTGTCACCCACCGGCGCTGATAATCCTTTGCCTTCCCTGGTTTCTCCTCCCCCCTCATCAACATACTGAAGTAAAAAAAATAAAAATAAAAACAAACAAAAAAAAAAAAACACCTTTTCAGGTTGATTACATACTTTATTTTTGACCCAGTGATGTCATCACCGGGTCTCTCTGTGCTTCTCTATGCAATGCGGGCAGATCATGGCTGATGCAGAATTCTGTACATAGGCTCCTGAATCATAGCGCCTTGCCTCAGTGCTCCCCATCCTGATGCAAGCTGTGGGCTGGCTCTTGGGAGGAGTTATGAAAATATCAAAAAGTCTTGATGGGTGGATGTCAGTCTGGAGGAGTGGTTGTCCCTCAGGCAGGCTACATTTACACCACGGGTGACAAACTGGCGGCCCTCCAGCTGTTGCCAAACTACAAATCCCATGAGGCATTGAACGATTGACAGTTATAAGCAGGGCTGCTGTTAGAAACCACGGGACCCCATACAGCCGACCTGAAAGGGCCCCCTTACAAAAAAAAACAAAAAAAAAAACATTTTACTATGCTTCAGTTATGAATGAACACAGAGTGATCAGTACCGATCGCTCATTGTGTTCATTCAGGAAAGGAAAAGGCTGGTTAATGTGATGTAATTATCAGACCCTTCCCCCACTCTCCATCCTGCAGGATCCTATTGTGTACTTTGCAGTTGCCTATGGGAAGGAGAGGGGAAGCCGGCATGTGGGGGCCCAGGAAGCTGGGTGAATCAGATGTGCACAGGGACGGTGATCGGCATGGTGGGAGTGGGGGGGGGGGGGGGGGCAATTACTGGAACAAACCCGCTGTATGGCTCTCTCTGCTGCAGCTAAAAGCCAGCGGGAGGGAGAGGAGAAGAATCCAGCTTTCAGCTGCTGCAGAGGGAGCCACACAGGGGATTGGTTCCAGTAATTGCTCCCCCACCGTGCTGAGCACCCTCCCTGCCCACATATGATTCACATATGATTCACCCAGCTGCCTGGGCCCCCCCTGCTGGCCTGGGCCCCATACAGGTGGACTTGGTGGTACCCCATTATCCATGGCCCTGGTTACAAGTATGACTGCCAAACGTAGAGGCCTGCATGATGGGACCCGTAGTTTGGCAACAGCTGGAGGGCCGCCATGTTTGACAAACTGAAAAATTGGATGTATGAAAGGGGCGGGGCCAGAGAAAGTAAGACTGGGGAGGAAAGCGCTAGATGATGATGGACGCCCTCCAGCCAGAAAATGAGAAGCTCACAGTGGTGACACAAACAACTGTAGGAAATCTCATCACAATCTTTAACGGCGTTGGCCTGTGAAGGTAGTCCTCTAAAAAAGAGTAACAGTAGTCCCCGACTTCCAAGATATTCTGCTATTACAGATTTTACTTGCCACCTGCTGGTGAAATTTAGCACTGCAATGTGACCATAAACAATTACAGTCTATGGAAACCACTGCATGCGCTAGTCATATAGCAGTCTAATGAGGAGAGCAGCAGAATGGGGGTCTTACTTGATGCCGGGGGGGGCTGCGGGAGGTGCGGGTGGCTCATTCTAAATATTAATCCTATGGGAGTCTCCCGAGCAGGGGCTGACTGACAACTCATGGGGCCCCCAGGCAATAGGGGATCATGGGGCACCTGTGTCCTTGCCGCCCACTCAAAGCACACCCAAAAAAGCCTATAAAAAAAAAAAAAAAGGTACCAGGGGCATTTCATGGGGCCCCCTACTGACCCCGGGCCCTCAGGCAGTGCCCAAGTGCTCGAATGGTCAGTCCGCCCCTGCCCCCGAGCCTGCTCAGGCAAGAAAAAGCAATAACGGGATGGCTTCAACGTCCTCCTACTTAGGTCCTCCTACACACGGGACGTTTTTACAGCGGCTGTTTTTGGCGGTTTTTTCTACAGCCAGTAACCCCCCAGCATGTTATCCTCTGTGTTTCTATATGACACTGGCCAGGAAGGGGTTAACATCAAGAGGTTGACTGTGTGCTTAACAAGTGTAATGTGTGCCGCTTTCACTTTCTGATCTGGCTGTTTTCTCGCCCTCTTTTCAGGGAGAAGAAACAGCTAGATGGATGTGTTTTTGTAAATTGGTGATTGGACCAGGGGCGTATTTACCACAAGGCAAACAAGGCACTTGCCTAGGGCGGCATTTTTCAGGGGGGCAACACCCCCCCCCCCCCCAGAAGAAGGAATGAAAGCAGGGAAACGTGCCATGGGAACCAGGTGGGATCTTGATGGTGTATGTAGAGCCTGGGTCTCGCTCCTGGGCATGTCCGTCTGTGAAGATGAGTGTCTCTCTATCCCCGTGGGGGGTAGTCAAAGGAGGGGGGGCAGGGATGTTGTTGGTCACTATCAGGCTCTCTCCACGGGAGGGGAAAGGGGGGGTTGTGTTGGTCGGTGTCCATGGGGGGGCAGACAAATTTTGTATTGCCTAGGGCGCAGCACAAAACCTAAATACACCACTGGATTGGACACAGCCGATCAGCAGGTTTCAGCCGAAATCATTGGCCGATATCTGCTGTTGCCCTCAGGAAGGCGGAGCCTTGGTGAAGGGTGGCTCCTCTGTGCCGTCCTTCATACATCGACTAGAGACGTTCGGTCTGTAAGGCGACTCATCATGGGGGTTGTGTAGTTAACAGTCGCAGTTTTATAAAAACAAAAAAATGATTTCCTGTTGTGTCATCCAATTAAGTCATAAAAAAAAAAAAAATGCAACATAAGCTATTACAGATTTTACTTGCCACCTGCTGGTGAACTTTAGCACTGCAATGTGACCATAAACAATTACAGTCTATGGAAACCACTGCATGCACTAGTCATATAGTAGTCTGACGTGGAGAGCAGCAGAATGGGGGTCTTACTTGATGCCGGGGGGCTGGGGTGGTGCGGGCGGCTCATTGCTTCTAAATATTAATCCTATGGGAGTCCCCCGAGCCAGCTCAGGCAAGAAGCAGCAATAACGGGACGGCTTCAACTTTTCTTTATCAACACTTTTCTCTCGGCCACTTAAGTCCTCCTGCACACGGGACACTTTTACAGCGGCTGTTTTTGGCTTTTGACATTTTCTACAGCCAATAAACCCCCCAGCATGTTATCCTCTGTGTTTCTATATGACACTGGCCAGGAAGGGGTTAACATCAAGAGGTTGACTGTGTGCTTAACAAGTGTAATGTGTGCCGCTTTCACTTTGTGATCTGGCTGTTTTTCGCCCTGCTTTTCAGGGAGAAGAAACAGCCAGACGGATGTGTTTTTGTAAATTGGTGATTGGACACAGCTGATCAGCAGGTTTCAGCCGAAATCATCGGCTGATATCTGCTGTTGCCCTCAGGAAGGCGGAGCCTTGGAGAAGGGTGGTTCCTCTGTGCAGTCCTTCATTACAATGCATCGACTAGAGACATTCGGTCTGTAAGGCGACTCATCATGGGGGTTGTGTAGCCAACAGTCGCAGTTTTATAAAAACAGAAATGATTTCCTGTTGCGTCATCCAATTAAGTCATAAAAAAAAAAAAAAACATGCAACGTATGCAGGATTGCAGGGGTCAAAGTCCTGTGCGCCCAGTGAGGTGACATCAGGAGAGTCGGCGTGGCTGCCGTGTACTCACTCCGGGTATAGCCCACTGGCCACAGTCCTTCCTCTGAATGGCTACGAACTGTAAGATGGCTTTCCCCGTCTTTGGATCGGTCACCTTCTCTCCTGCAGCGCTCCTTTTCCACCTGTAGGGGGAGACAAATCATTATCACCACCAAAGAGGAAACAAAAAAATCCATCTTCAGCCCGAGTTCACACATATGTGGTGCGGCATATCGCATGTGATTCGCTAGGAACCGCACCGCATTCCCTGCCAATCACATGCGATTTGTGTGCGGTGCGATCGGAGCCGTACATTTTGTATGGCTCTAATCGCACCAAAAACGTGCAGGACCCTTTTTTGGGTCCGCACTAGAATCGGGTATTCACACCTATGTGATCTGATTCTGCACATCACACCGCGTTTTGCGGACCGCTTTTCGGGGTGTTGTTCACTTAACATGCCCACCGGCTTGCATGAGCGGGGTGTGATTCTGATGCGGTGCGGAATTCGCATAGAAAACGCTGCAAATTCCGCACCGCCTCAGTGTGAACCCGGGCTCAGTGTTGATCAGAAAAACAACTAATATACAAAGATAAATTATCTGCAGAGTGAAAGAAGATCCAAATGAAGTAAATACTGTTTGTGGGGAGCGATTTCACTTGCTAAAGTGTTTTTATCAGTGTTGATAAAGTTCCAGCAGAGGTAGTGAGCCAGTCAACAGTAAAACATGCTTGGGACAAAAAAAGAGAAAGATAAAAAAACAAACAAACAAAAAAACTCCCAAAAAACAAACAAAAAAAAAAAAAACCACACCTAAAAAAAAAAACAAAAAACAAAAAAACAAAAAAAAACCCTAAAAAAAAAAAAAAACACCCACAAAAACAAGCAAAAAAAAAAAAAAAAAAGCCACAAAAAAACTAAAAAACAAACAAAAACAAAACAAAAAAACCCACAAAAAAACAAACAGAAAAAAAACCCCACAAAAAAACTAACAAATAAAAAAGACTATATAAAAAAAAAAAACAAACAAAAAAACAAAACAAAACACAACCCCCCCCCAAAAAAAACAAACAAAACAAAAACCCCAAAACAAACACAAAACAAACAAAAAACACAGGCAGACTTGATGGACCACTCAGTATTTTTCTGCCGTCACTTTTCTATGTTTCTATGTATTTATGTCCAACCAGTCCAGAGATTTAGACAGCTCTGCTGCACAGGACAGGCAGCTTGGTGAACAGACTTTCTGCTGCTGTTAAATTGTATCTCAACCCTTAGATGTAGCGACTGCATTACTTTTTTTTCATGCTTGTTTCCTATATTTCCCCCTGGTGATCCTGCCAGTAACATACTTCCTGTCATAGGGAGGCAATGTCCACTCACTGTACTGTATCCATGGAGGGGGGCCATGGTTGTCACCCTAGGACAGGACTTCAGAACACCTCATCATTCCCATAATGTAGATGGGTATGGAACAATGTAACTGATAACAATGCGACACAGGAATAGGAAGAGAGTGCAGCAGGTTGTCGGCTCGCACAGTTTCTGGCAGGATCAACAAGTATTTTTCGGCACAGACACAACAAAATGTGTTCAGTGGTACACAGGGGTGGAATGACAACTCATGGGGCCCCAGGCAATAGGGCATCATGGGGCCCCTGTGTCCTTGCCCAAACTGAAAAAAGCCTATGAAAAAGGTACCAGGGGCATCTCATGGGGCCCCCTACTGACTCGGCCCTCGGGCAGTGCCCGAGTTTCCCAATGGTCAGTCCGCCCCTGGTCTGGAGATTAGGTTAGAAGATGTAGAAAACTAATTGTACAAGATAAAAATACTACTTCTTATACATTTTTGTATTCTTGTGCAAGATTTTGGTAATCAATTGTAACAAAAAAAATATACATGTTGCAATAAAGTTTCTCCAAGGTAACCCCAGGGTGGCCTAGTCTGGAGCAGGGGTGGACTGACAACTCATGGGGCCCCGGGCAATAGGGGATCATGGGGCCCCTGTGTCCTTGCCCAAACTGAAAAAAAGCCTATGAAAAAGGTACCAGGGGCATCTCATGGGGCCCCCTACTGACCCCGGGCCCTCGGGCAGTGCCCGAGTTTCCGAATGGTCAGTTCGCCCCTGGTGGTACATTTAAAAGACCCAAGGGACCAAATAAAGTAAGCTCAGTATTAGGCACCACAGCTAGATCACCTCCCTGTCCCTCCAACTGTGATTGCACAGCAAGCCCGGGTTCACACTGAGGCGGTGCAGAATTTGCAGCGTTTTCTGTGCGAATTCAGTGCGATGTGCAGAATCGGATAACATAGGTGTGAATACCTGTGCGATCCGATTCTAGTGCCGACCCAAAAAAAAAAAAGGGTCCTGCACCTTTTTGGTGCGGGTGCGGTGCGATTAGAGTCATGCAAAATGTACGGCTCCGATTGTACTGCACACAAATCGCATGTGATTTGTACAGGAATGCGGAGCGGTTCCTGTGTGAATCACATGCGACGTACCGCACTGCACATATGTGAACCCGGGCTGAAAGTGGAAATTTAGGCCCTGCTAGATCGCTGCATGCTGGACCCTTTTCTTTGCAGGTATAAACATTAAAAGTAAATATACTGTTTAAAATCCAGTAATACACCGTCTCTTCCTGCTCTGCACATGCTCAGTTGCTCTCTATTCTCTGCACTGTTCCTCGGAAAATCAGAGCCACTAGAGGCCAATCATCTGACGACTGTTGCTGAAGTGGGAAGAGAGCAACAGGAATGACACAGACTAGGGAGGGAGAAAAGAAAAGCTGGAGAGGTGACAGGACATACTCTGCTGCCAGAAAGACACACACCAAAAAAAAAGAAAAACAAAAAAAAACAAAAAGAAAAAACAACATCCCCCCAAAAAACAAAACAAAAACCCCAAACTAAAAAAACAAAAAAACAAAAACACGGACAGACTTGATGGACCACTCGGTCTTTTTCTGCCGTCACTGTTTGGATGGGACGGACCCGCCAGTGGATCCATTTGCTCAGCGGGGATCTGTGTCTGCTCCACTACAGCAGAGCGGCCACAGACAGCCTGTTTTTCCCTATGGGGCGGTCGGATGGAAATGGACCGCCTGTCTGTAGCCACCCGATTGTCATCCGATCTGATGGACGGATGGGGAACGGATCCCCATCTGTCTGTTTTTGGCGTACAGGTTCGGATCGGTCCATAGAGATCTACGAATGGTCCGATCGGGTCCACCTGAAAAACTGACAGGCAAACCCGAGTGGACCGTCAGCGTGAAAGGGGCCTTAAAGCGGAGTTCCACCCAAAAGGGGAAGTTCCGCTTTGTCCCCCGCTCCCCATTAAGGATTGGCACCTTGGGGGAGCGGGTACCCGAATTTGACAGGTACCCGTTCCTACTTCTGCTGCAATCGCCTATGGCGATTGGAAGTCGTCCTCCCCCCCTCCCTCCCCGTAGTTTTCTGGGACATGTGACAGTTCCCAGAAGACTACGGGACCATTCACAGCTTCTCGCACATGTGCAGTGGGCACCTGGCTGTGAAGCCGCAAGCTGTCACAGCTGGATGCCCACACTAAAGATGCCGGCGCCAGGGAGAGAAGACGGCCGGTGGAACCAGCGGTGTGGCGAGGACACCGCTGGACAGGTAAGTGGCTGTATTTTAAAAGTCAGCAGCTACAGTTTTTGTAGCTGCTGACTTTTTCTTCTTCAGCTGGAACTCCTCTTTAAACTGACAAGGACAGTGTCCTATCTTATCCCCCCGATATTCTCCTTCTCCCTTATTGGCAGCCTGTGAACGTCAGCACCGTAAGGCTCCATGCACACTAGCATTTTTTTTTTTTTTCAAAAAACAGTGAAAAAAAGGCTAATAGCGGTTTTTTTTTAATAGCATTTTAGTAGCTTTAGCGTTTTTACAGTAAATGTAGAGGAAAAAACAGGCTAGAAAAAAGCTGTTTTAGGAGCATTTAGCATTGTTTTCTGCTGGAAAAGCGCTCCAAAAAAACTCTACAAAACTTTTGTTTTTCTGCTCCTAGACGCTGAAGCTCAAAAAAGTAGCCTAAAGCCTACAGTGGTGTGCACGGACATATGGGATAAATACTATTTAGCTTCTAGAAGCAGAAACAAAATGCTAATAAGTTTCTAGGAGCACTAGTGAGCATGGAGCCTAAAGCTTCTGTCGGCCTTCCTCTCTAGCTGAGCCAAGACATACAATCAAGGCTGGAAATGTACATATTTTAATTGTGAGATATAGTTTTTTCAGACCAAGGAGAGGGGGAGAGTTTCCAATAAAGGAAGTGACTGCTCTGGGCTTCGATAAAATGGCGGCCTCCAGCAAGGAGAAACAGGAACAATGCTGGAGGCAATTTACAGTATGCACTCATTTTGGGAGCATAATTATCAATGTGGAATGTATGTTCCCATTAACCACTTCCCGTCCGGCCGTTGTATATAAACAGTAGCAGTGCAGGGTCGGGTGGCCGTTTATAAACGGCCTCCCCGCACCCTGCTTGTGCGCGCTCCCTGGGAGCACGCAGCACCGCAATACGGTGCCCGCTGTGTCCCCCGGGCACAGTGGAACACCGATCGTCGGATGGGACCTCTGTGCGAGGTCACGATCACATGCAGAGTAGTAAGCAAGATGTCACTTCCTGACATCATTGATTACTACGTGTGAAATCTGTGAATGATCACAGAGGTCACATGGTACAGGGCTATTCACAACAGCCTTGTACCATGTGACAAGCTGCGACCAATCACAGCTCTCACAGAGAGAAGGAGAAATTATTGCTTTTACAGCCTTTATGGGTGTAAAAGCAATCAGTGTAAAAAAAAAAAAAAAAAAATCATCACCCCCCACAAGTAGTAGAGTGTCAGCATGGTGACACTGTACTGCTAGGGTGACAGTATGTAAAAAAGAAACAACAAAAAAAAACCATAATAATATAAAAAAAGAAAAATGTTTACAAATTATAATGTTTGGTTATAAACTAATTTGGGTTATTTTTTTTTTTTTTTACTAAAAAGATAACGGAATAAATTTTGGCCAAGATTTATTATGAAATATTATTTATTTGCAAAAACACCTTTTTTTCAAAATTTTTGGACATTTTCATTTATATAGCAAAAAAAAAAAATCCCAGCGGTTAATAAATACCACCAAAATAAAGCTTTATCTGTCTCAAAAAATGCTAAAAAATTCATATGGGTACAGTGTTGCATGACCGCGCATTTGTCATTCAAAGTGTGATAGCGATGAAAGCTGAAAATTGGCCTGGGGGGGAAAGTGTCCGGACTGGAAGGGGGGGGGAAAGTGTCCGGACTGGAAGGGGGGGGGAAAGTGTCCGGACTGGAAGGGGGGGGGAAAAGTGTCCGGACTGGAAGGGGGGGGGAAAGTGTCCGGACTGGAAGGGGGGGGGAAAGTGTCCGGACTGGAAGGGGGGGGGGAAAGTGTCCGGACTGGAAGGGGGGGGGGGAAAGTGTCCGGACTGGAAGGGGGGGGGGGGGAAAGTGTCCGGACTGGAAGGGGGGGGGGGAAAGTGTCCGGACTGGAAGGGGGGGGGGGGAAAAGTGTCCGGACTGGAAGGGGGGGGGGGAAAAGTGTCCGGACTGGAAGGGGGGGGGGGGAAAGTGTCCGGACTGGAAGGGGGGGGGGGGGTAAAGTGTCCGGACTGGAAGGGGGGGGGGGAAAGTGTCCGGACTGGAAGGGGGGGGGGGAAAGTGTCCGGACTGGAAGGGGGGGGGGGAAAGTGTCCGGACTGGAAGGGGGGGGGGGAAGTGTCTGGACTGGAAGGGGGGGGGGGGGAAGTGTCCGGACTGGAAGGGGGGGGGGGAAAGTGTCTGGACTGGAAGGGGGGGGGGAAGTGTCCGGACTGGAAGGGGGGGGGAAGTGTCCGGACTGGGGGGGGGGGGGGGAAAGTGTCCGGACTGGAAGGGGGGGAAAGTGTCCGGACTGGAAGGGGGGGAAAGTGTCCGGACTGGAAGGGGGGGGAAAGTGTCCGGACTGGAAGGGGGGGAAAGTGTCCGGACTGGAAGGGGGGGAAAGTGTCCGGACTGGAAGGGGGGGAAAGTGTCCGGACTGGAAGGGGGGGAAAGTGTCCGGACTGGAAGTGGTTAAAGAACATTGCTTGCTGTCAAGTTGTTAGGAGTAAAGCTCCACTTTAAGAAACAGACAGGTAAGGTTATCTCTCTGCTCTCTCCTCCTGTCAGTATGGTCCTTGCTAACACATATGCATACAGAATACCTGGTTGGCCCCAAGTACCACCTGCCCTAGTCTGAGTGCTGAAGAACATGAGCTAAAAAGGTGACAGTGGAGGGAGCTCAAGCACACAGCCTGTAATTGACAGCCTCGGCTCTGTTCCTGTGTGAAGGGGGGAGTGTCCCTTCCCTCCAATCAGGAAATCACAGAGCTCTGCAGAGTGTGACTTAAGCTCCCCGCCCCCCTGCTTTCTGAAAGTTCAGACAATCTATATGAATTCTGATCTTTGAATGGATGTTTGGAACAGACGGCTGCAGAAAGACAGGTACAACTTATGTAGGATGATTGGTTTCCTCTCTGTGTATCACCTGGAATCAGTCAATTCACTGGGTATATGGAAGGGTTTGCAACCATTTTAATAAACACATTGATGGTGGTTTGTAATATTTGTCGGGAGTTTAGCTTTACCCTGTATGTAATGTAATGTCGGGAGGCAATCCTTACCGTGTTATGATTGGGTCGGCTGCAAGGTTGGGTCCCCACCTTCCTAGCAACCCTCTTCCCGTCATCCCCGTCCTTCCAATGGGGTTTCTGACAATAACACATTGTGACAGATGTCAGAGGGAACATACATCACATTGTCACCAACAAGATCAGTTACAGGCACTCACCTGGGCTGCCCGTCCTCTACCAGGTATACCCCCTCGAAGCTCGTCCTCTGTACACCGCCGTCCAGGGTGTTGTACTGCGGGTGGAAGCTTTCCTCGCTGCAAGACACAACGACAGCCACTCACATACAATGACATACAAGACACAACGACAGCCACTCACATACAATGACACAACAACTCACATACAATGACATACAAGACACAACGACAGCCACTCACATACAATGACACAACCACTCACATACAATGACATACAAGACACAATGACAACGACTCACATACAAGACACAACCACTCACATACAAGACACAACCGCTCACATACAAGACACAACCACTCACATACAATGACATACAAGACACAATGACAACGACTCACATACAAGACACAGCCTCTCACATACAAGACACAACCACTCACATACAATGACACAGCCTCTCACATACAATGACACAGCCTCTCACATACAATGACACAGCCTCTCACATACAATGACACAGCCTCTCACATACAATGACACAACGACTCACATACAATGACACAACGACTCACATACAATGACACAGCCACTCACATACAAGACACAACCACTCACATTCAGTGACACAACCACTCACATTCAGTGACACAACCACTCACATTCAGTGACACAACCACTCACATACAAGACACAACCACTCACATACAAGACACAACCACTCACATACAAGACACAGCGACTCACATACAAGACACAGCGACTCACATACAATGACACACAAGAAACAACCACTCACATACAAGACACAACCACTCACATACAAGACACAGCGACTCACATACAAGACACAGCGACTCACATACAAGACACAGCGACTCACATACAAGACACAGCGACTCACATACAATGACACAACCACTCACATACAATGACACAACCGCTCACATACAATGACAACGGCCCACATACAAGACACACAAGACACAACTCACATATAATGACACAACCACTCACATACAATGACACAACCACTCACATACAATGACACAACCACTCACATACAAGACACAACCACTCACATACATGACACAACCACTCACATACAATGACACAACCACTCACATACAATGACACAACCACTCACATACAATGACACAACCACTCACATACAATGACACAACCACTCACATACAAGACACAACCACTCACATACAAGACACAACCACTCACATACAAGACACAACCACTCACATACAATGACACAACGGCCCACATACAAGACACACAAGACACAACTCACATACAACACACAACCACTCACATACAATGACACAACGGCTCACATATAGTGACATACAAGACACGGCGACTCACATACAATGACACACAAGACACGGCGACTCACATACAATGACACAACCACTCACATACAATGACACACAATGACTCATGTGATCACTGATTGCCCAATCAGTGATCACATGCAGAGTAGTAAGCAAGATGTCACTTCTGACATCATTGCTTACTATGTGTGAAATCTGTGAATGATCACCGAGGTCACATGGTACAGGGCCATTCACAACAGCCTTGTACCATATGACAAGCTGCGACCAATCACAGCTCTCACAGTATTTCTCAATGGCTGCAGGAATGCAGCCAGAGAGAAGGAGAAATTATTGTGTTTACAGCCTTTATGGATGTAAAAGCAATCAGCGTAAAAAAAAAAAATCTTCATCACCCCCCACAAGTAGTACAGTGTCACCATGGTAACAATGTACTGCTAGGGTGACAGTATGTAAAAATAAATAAATAATAATATGAAAAAATGTTTACAAATTATAATTTTTGGTTATAAACTAATGTGTTATTATTATTTTTTTACTAAAAAGGTAATGGAATACATTTTGGCCAAGATTTATGAAGAAAGATTATTTATTTGCAAAATTTTATAAGAAAAACACTTTTGTTCAAAATGTTGGGACTTTTTCATTTACATAGCAAAAAAAAATAAAAATCCCAGCGGTGAATAAATACCACCAAAATAAAGTTTTATCTGTCTCAAAAAAAATGCTAAACAATTCGTATGGGTACAGTGTTGCATGACCGCGCAATTGTCATTCAAAGTGTGACAGCGCTGAAAGCTGATAATTGGCCTGGACTGGAAGGGGGGGGGGGTGAAATCTTGTTCTGTGAAGTTTTCTCTTTCTCCAGTTTCCTGGAGGCGGGCTTTTAAACACGGAAACGTCAGATGCAGAATATGAGAAGGACAGAAATAGAAGAGGAGAGAAGTGGGGGGGGGGGGGGCGGTAAGAATGACAGAAGGAGGACAGTGGAGCCTCTCTCACCTGTGTGGGGGGTCTGCCCAGACGGGTTGGGCGAGCACAGGGCGGGCGGTGTACTCTACCGGCTGGTACTCCGGCCAATCCACCGACCAGCTGACCTTTTCCGGGGGGTACCGGCTGCCTTTCCACCTGAGATCCTGGATACGGAGAGGTCAGCGCCTTCACGTGACCCGTCATGGCAGACAGCCGGCTGCGATCGCGGAACCAGTATGAGAACACGAAGCTGCAGAGAGAACACAACATCAGACGTTCCATCACTTCTCTCCATAACCTGAGACAATGACTATCACCCGGGACCCAGGACTCTCTGCGGGGGGGGGGGGGGGGCTCTGCTGTATACAAGAGATACACAATCTGCTAACCGCTCACCTCTGCTGTGCCCAATATGAGGGGTTCCCACCATCCCTGTGCTGAGTTCCCGGGTCTGTACACCCGCTGTGCCCATTATGAGGGGTTCCCACCATCCCTGTGCTGAGTTCCCGGGTCTGTACACCCGCTGTGCCCATTATGAGGGGTTCCCACCATCCCTGTGCTGAGTTCCCGGGTCTATACACCCGCGCTGTGCCCATTATGAGGGGTTCCCACCATCCCTGTGCTGAGTTCCCGGGTCTGTACACCCGCTGTGCCCATTATAAGGGGTTCCCACCATCCCTGTGCTGAGTTCCCTTGTCTGTACACCTGCTGTGCCCATTATGAGGGGTTCCCACCATCCCTGTGCTGAGTTCCCGGGTCTGTACACCCGCTGTGCCCATTATGAGGGGTTCCCACTATCTCTGTGCTGAGTTCCCTTGTCTGTAGACCCGCTGTGCCCATTATGAGGGGTTCCCACCATCCCTGTGCTGAGTTCCCTTGTCTGTAGACCCTGCTGTGCCCATTATGAGGGGTTCCCACCATCCCTGTGCTGAGTTCCCGGGTCTGTACACCCGCTGTGCCCATTATGAGGGGTTCCCACCATCCCTGTGCTGAGTTCCCGGGTCTGTACACCCGCTGTGCCCATTATGAGGGGTTCCCTGCATCCCTGTGCCGAGTTCCCGGGTCTGTACACCCGCTGTGCCCATTATGAGGGGTTCCCTCCATCCCTGTGCCGAGTTCCCGGGTCTGTACACCCGCTGTGCCCATTATGAGGGGTTCCCACCATCCCTGTGCTGAGTTCCTGGGTCTGTACACCCGCTGTGCCCATAATGAGGGGTTCCCACCATCCCTGTGCTGAGTTCCCTTGTCTGTAGACCTGCTGTGCCCATTATGAGGGGTTCCCACCATCCCTGTGCCGAGTTCCCGGGTCTGTACACCCGCTGTGCCCATTATGAGGGGTTCCCACCATCCCTGTGCCGAGTTCTTGGGTCTGTACACCCACTGTGCCCATTATGAGGGGTTCCCACCATTAACGCTTGAATGAGGGAACCCAAGATTTCCAAGGTGGGCAAGAACAAAGACATGGAACTATGGCAGGGAGTCCTGAAGATTTGGCCCACCAAACTTCATCTACAGTATCTCCCAGAAGTGAGTCCCCCCCTCACATTTGTGTCAATATTTGATTCTCTCTTTTCATGTGACAACACTGAAGAAATGACACTTTGCTACAATGTGACGTAGTCAGTGTACAGCTTGTATAACATGGAAATTTGCTGTCCCCTCAAAATAACTCAACACACCGCCATTAATGTCTAAACTGCTGGCAACAAAAGTGACTCCACCCCTAAGTGACAAGGTCCAAATTGGGCCCAAAGTGTCAATGTTTTGTGTGGGCCGCCATTATTTTCCAGCACTTCCTTAACCCTCTTGGGCATGGAGGTCACCAGAGCTTCACAGGTTGCCACTGGAGTCCTCTTCTACTCCTCCATGACGTCATCACGGAGCTGGTGGATGTTAGAGGCCTTGCGCTCCTCTACCTTCCGTTTGATGCCCCACAGATGGTCAATAGGGTTCAGGTCTGGAGACATGCTTGGCCAGTCCATCACCTTTACCCTCAGCTTCTTTAGCAGAGGAGTGGTGGTCTTGGAGGTGTGTTTGGGGTCGTTATGTTGGAATACTGCCCTGCGGCCCAGTCTCTGAAGGGAGGGGATCATGCTCTGCTTCAGTATGTCACAGTACATGTTGGCATTCATGGTTCCCTCAATGAACTGTAGCCCCCCAGTGCCGGCAGCTCTCATGCAGCCCCAGACCATGACACTCCCACCACCATGGGGCCCCAGACCGTGGCACTCCCACCACCATGGGGCCCCAGACCGTGGCACTCCCACCACCATGGGGCCCCAGACCGTGGCACTCCCACCACCATGGGGCCCCAGACCGTGGCACTCCCACCACCATGGGGCCCCAGACCGTGGCACTCCCACCACCATGGGGCCCCAGACCGTGGCACTCCCACCACCATGGGGCCCCAGACCGTGGCACTCCCACCACCATGGGGCCCCAGACCGTGGCACTCCCACCACCATGGGGCCCCAGACCGTGGCACTCCCACCACCATGGGGCCCCAGACCGTGGCACTCCCACCACCATGGGGCCCCAGACCGTGACACTCCCACCACCATGCGGCCCCAGACCGTGACACTCCCACCACCATGGGGCCCCAGACCATGACACTCCCACCACCATGCTTGACTGTAGGCAAGACACACTTGTCTTTGTACTCCTCACCTGGTTGCCCCCACACACGCCTGACACCATCTGAACCCAATCAGTTGTTGGTGTCATCAGACCACAGGAGACGGTTCCAGTAATCCATGTCCTCATTCTGCTTGTCTTCAGCAAACTGTTTGCGGCTTTCTTGGTCATCATCTTTAGAAGAGGCTTCCTTCTGGGACGACAGCCATGCAGACCAATGTGATGCGGTGTGCGGTGTATGGTCTGAGCTCTGACAGGCTGACCCCCCCCCCCTTCACCCTCTGCAGCAATGCTGGCACCACTGACAGGCTGCCCCCCCCCCCTTCACCCTCTGCAGCAATGCTGGCACCACTGACAGGCCGAACACCCCCCCACCCCTTCACCCTCTGCAGCAATGCTGGCACCACTGACAGGCCGCCCCTCCCACCCCTTCACCCTCTGCAGCAATGCTGGCACCACTGACAGGCTGCCCCTCCCACCCCTTCACCCTCTGCAGCAATGCTGGCACCACTGACAGGCTGACCCCCCCACCCCTTCACCCTCTGCAGCAATGCTGGCACCACTGACAGGCTGACCCCCCACCCCTTCACCCTCTGCAGCAATGCTGGCAGCACTCATACACGTCTATTTCCCAAAGACAACCTCTGGATATGACGCTGAGCACGTGGACTCAACCTCTGTGGTGGACCATGGCGATGCCTGTTCTGAGTGGAACCTGTCCTGTTACACCGCTCTATGGTCTTGGCCCCCGTGCTGCAGATCAGTTTCAGGGTCTCGGCAATCTTCTTATAGCCTCGGCCATCTTTACGTAGAGCAACAATTCTTTTTTTCAGATCCTCAGAGAGAGTTCTTGGCCATGAGGTGCCATGCTGAACTTCCAGTGACCAGTATGAGAGAGTGAGAGCGATAACACCAAATGTAACCCACCCGCTCCCCATTCACACCTGAGACCTTGTAACACCAAAGAGTCACATGACACCGGGGAGGGAAAATGGCCGATTGGGCCCAATTTGGACCTTGTCACTTAGGGGTGGAGTCACTTTTGTTGCCAGCAGTTTAGACATTAATGGCGGTGTGTTGAGTTATTTTGAGGGGACAGCAAATTTCCATGTTATACAAGCTGTACACTGACTACGTCACATTGTAGCAAAGTGTCATTTCTTCAGTGTTGTCACATGAAAAGAGAGAATCAAATATTGACACAAATGTGAGGGGGGGGGGGGGGGGGGGACTCACTTCTGGGAGATACTGTATGTATATATACACATTGTATACAGTCCGGGGGGGGGGGTCACTTCTGGGAGAGATATATATATACATTGTATACATTCCGGGGGGGGGGGGTCACTTCTGGGAGAGATATATATATACATTGTATACAGTCCGGGGGGGGGGGTCACTTCTGGGAGAGATATATATATATATATACACACACACATTGTATACAGTCGGGGGGGGGTCACTTCTGGGAGATATATATACATTGTATACAGTCCGGGGGGGGGGGGTCACTTCTGGGAGATGCTGTATATATATATATACATTGTATACAGTCTGGGGGGGGGGGGGGGGGTGGGGTCACTTCTGGGAGATATATATACATTGTATACAGTCCGGGGGGGGTCACTTCTGGGAGATATATATACATTGTATACAGTCCGGGGGGGGTCACTTCTGGGAGATACAGTATAACTGAACTGCCACTTATGTAAACAATGTGAATCACATGGATTGGATTTGCACCTTATAAAAGCAGCTAGTGCAGCGGTGATGGAAAAAGGCGTGGTTCTTGCCGTGGCAAGGAGACGGGACAGGCTGCTCCACACCATCTATGCGGCTCCGATCCACCAATCACAGAGGGGCCCGGCTTCCTAGCTGTGGAGGTGAGGGACAGGAAGACACAAATCACACACACAAGGCATAGAAACCATCCAAATGACTTCATATAGAACCAATGATGGGGAACATGGAGGCGGTGGATCTTCATCCCGATTCCCCGCTCAGTATATGAATCGCTTATGAATGAGTTCTTCAAAGTGTCACTCCGCTCATCAGTGATATTTCAGCATTAGACGTGAACCCTCATTCAAGCACAGGGATGGTGGGAACCCCTCAAAATGGGCACAGCGGGTGTACAGACCCGGGAACTCAGCACAGGGATGGTGGGAACCCCCCATAATGGGCACAGCGGGTGTACAGACAAGGGAACTCAGCAACAGGGATGGTGGGAACCCCTCATAATGGGCACTGCGGGTGTACAGACCCGGGAACTCAGCACAGGGATGGCGGGAACCCCTCATAATGGGCACAGCGGGTGTACGGACCCGGGAACTCAGCACAGGGATGGTGGGGAACCCCTCACAATGGGCACGCGGGTGTACAGACCCGGGAATTCAGCACAGGGATGGTGGGAAACCCCTCATAATGGGCACAGCGGGTGTACAGACCCGGGAACTCAGCACAGGGATGGTGGGAACCCCTCACAATGGGCACCGCGGGTGTACAGACCCGGGAACTCAGCACAGGGATGGTGGGAACCCCTCATAATGGGCACAGCAGGTGTACAGACCCGAGAACTCAGCACAGGGATGGTGAGAACCCCCCATAATGGGCACAGCGGGTGTACAGACCCGGGAACTCAGCACAGGGATGGTGGGAACCCCCCATAATGGGCACAGCAGAGGTGAGTGGGTTAGCAGATTGTGTATCTCTTGCATACAACAGAGCCCCCCCCCCCCGCCGCAGGGTCCAGGAAAAAAAGGCCAAAAAACGATAAATCTGAGCACGTTTGTGATAGAGGTGAAGCTGAACTGACAAACCTGAGAAACAAAAGCAGAATATTCTCTGTAAACCGAAACCAAAAGTGCTTTGTGCGTGGTGGGATCCAGGCCGGGCCCGGAACTCCTCATCTACATGGAGGGGACACACAGCTACACCAGGACAGGAGGGGACAGGGACTACGCCAGGACAGGAGGGGACAGGGACTGCGCCAGGGCAGGAGGGGACAGGGACTGCGCCAGGGCAGGAGGGGACAGGGACTGCGCCAGGGCAGGAGGGGACAGGGACTACGCCAGGACAGGAGGGGACAGGGACTGCGCCAGGACAGGAGGGGACAGGGACTGCGCCAGGACAGGAAGTATGGGGCTACATATACAGTACAGCAATCCACCCGTGTGAGTGGTTTTGTCTGTCTGCTATGGAACTACAAATCCCAGCATGCTTTCCCTCAGCCTCTATTAACCAATCACACCGCAGTCCCTGTGTTTCAGGACCTGTAGTTCCACTGACAGCAGGCACACCTACTGGGGAGTTCTCCCCCGGGACCTGACAGGCTGGCACAGCTGCCAGTCACACAGGGCGCGGTTTTGCATTGGCAGAGCGCTGGGCGGAGGGAGGGAAGGTGGCTCGCGGCCTCTTTTACCTGCTAAGCGCCCAAGTAGTTCTGTGATTGGCCGGCCGACCGTGGCACAAGGCGCGGAGTCCGCACAGTCCGATCGAGGTAGCGAACAGCCTGCAGGCTCCTCTCAGGTGACAAACCGGTGGCATAATGCGCCCTCTGCGCAGCCCTGCCCTTTGCTCGCGACCGACGTTGCTAGGAGGAAGTGTGGGTGGGCACTGCGTGCTTCTCCATAGTTACCAATAATGCATGAGGCGTAAGAAACGGTCTGTATTTCCTGTTTGCGTACTGCGCATGCACCAATTCAGGTAGTAAGTAGGGATTAGGGAACCACCCAGTGAGGGCCACAAAGAGCAGCTGAAACCCGACACTTTTGGAGATAGACAGCTGCACTGTGCATTACATACTACTGACCCTGAACTCCGTGTTATTCCTGACCCCTGCACTGTGCATTACATACTACTGACCCCCTTGAACTGTCCATTACATACTACTGACCCCTGAACTCTGTGGTATTCCTGACCCCTGCATTGTGCATTACATACTACTGACCCCTGAACTCTGTGGTATTCCTGACCCCCTGCATTGTGCATTACATACTACTGACCCCGGCACTGTGCATTACATACTACTGACCCCTGAACTCCGTGTTATTCCTGACCCCTGCACTGTGCATTACATACTACTGACCCCTGAACTGTGCATTACATACTACTGACCCCTGAACTCTGTTATTCCTGACCCCTGCACTGTACATTACATTACATACTACTGACCCCTGAACTGTGCATTACATACTACTGACCCCTGAACTCCATATTATTCCTGACCCCTGCAATGTACTTACTTACTACTGACCCCTGAACTCCATATTATTCCTGACCCCTGCACTGCACATTACATACTACTGACCCCTGAACTCCATATTATTCCTGACCCCTGCACTGCACATTACATACTACTGACCCCTGAACTCCATATTATTCCTGACCCCTGCACTGCACATTACATACTACTGACCCTGGCACTGTACATTACATACTACTGACCCCTGAACTCCGTATTATTCCTGACCCCTGCACTGTACATTACATACTACTGACCCCTGAACTCTGTATTATTCCTGACCCCTGCACTGCACATTACATACTACTGACCCCGGCACTGTACGTTACATACTACTGACCCCTGAACTCCGTATTATTCCTGACCCCTGCACTGTACATTACATACTACTGACCCCCTGAACTCCGTGTTATTACTGACCCCTGCAATGTACATTACATACTACTGACCCCTGAAATCCGTGTTATTCCTGACCCCTGCACTGTGCATTATATACTCCTGACCCCATGCACTGTGCATTATATACTACTGACCCCTGAACTCCGTGTTATTCCTGACCCCTGCACTGTACATTACATACTACTGACCCCTGAACTCCGTGTTATTCCTGACCCCTGCACTGTACATTACATACTACTGACCCCTGCACTGCACATTACATACTACTGACCCTGAACTCCATGTTATTCCTGACCCTGGCACTGTACATTACATACTACTGACCCCTGAACTCCGTGTTATTTCCTGACCCCTGCACTGTACATTACATACTACTGACCCCTGCACTGTACATTACATACTACTAACCCCTGAACTCCGTGTTATTCCTGACCCCTGCACTGCACATTACATACTACTGACCCCTGAACTCCGTGTTATTACTGACCCCTGCACTGTACATTCCATACTACTGACCCCTGAACTCTGTGTTATTCCTGACCCGGCACTGCACATTACATACTACTGACCCCTGAACTCCATGTTATTCCTGACCCCTGCACTGCACATTACATACTACTGACCCCTGAACTCCGTGTTATTACTGACCCCTGCACTGTACATTCCATACTACTGACCCTTGAACTCTGTGTTATTCCTGACCCCTGCACTGCACATTACATACTACTGACCCCTGAACTCCGTGTTATTCCTGACCCCGGCACTGTACATTCCATACTACTGACCCCTGAACTCCGTGTTATTCCTGACCCCTGCACTGCACATTACATACTACTGACCCTTGAACTCCGTGTTATTACTGACCCCTGCACTGTACATTCCATACTACTGACCCCCTGAACTCTGTGTTATTCCTGACCCCTGCACTGCACATTACATACTACTGACCCCTGAACTCTGTGATCCTTCATGTTGGTTAGGTGGATCTCCACCTCTCCGGAATGGCCTATAATCCATCTGTCTTCCTCCCAGGATGCAGTGCTGGAGCCTGAGCGGCCAATGGCCTGCCCAACACTGTCACTTGGGGGGGTTTCCCTGAATGAGGAATGTGACATGTCCCTTTCAGATCATTGCTCCCATTCCTGGTAAATATAATGGAGCCAACACTTAAAACATGCAATCTGATTGGACAGACATTCAGACACTTGTGTAACGTGTTTAAACAAATCTTTATTTATTAATGTCTGCAACAACTTCCTTTGCAGCCATGAAACGGTTCATGCCATTCACTGACTGTGGAAGCCGCCTCCCCCCTCCCGGCGCGATGCTCTGCAGCATTTTCAGGTGCTGGGAGGATGGCGGGTGAGATAGTCAGCAGCTCCCGGCCGCTCTCATGCAGGAGTGATGTTCTGCCACTCACGGTGGCTGCATTTGTTTTCTGTTTTTTTTATTCAGGATTTTTGAAAGTTTCATTTGATCCTGGCAATTGCACACTTCCTGTTCTAGGGTGACAACGCTCGCTCAGTTAACTGTATGCAAGAGCAGCGTTGTCACCCTAGATCGGGACTACAGAACTCATTTCTTCTTCTACCTGTTGATGGCCGGTCTTGTCTTCTCGGCTAGTCATTAAAAGACAAACGCTGCGGTCTCCATAACTCTGAGGTCTCCATAACTCTGCGGTCTCCATAACGCTGCGGTCTCCATAGCTCTGCGGTCTCCATAACGCTGCGGTCTCCATAACGCTGCGGTCTCCATAACTGCGGTCTCCATAACGCTGCGGTCTCCATAACGCTGCGGTCTCCATAACTCTCCGCTCTCCATAACTCTCCGCTCTCCATAACTCTGCGCTCTCCATAACTCTGCGGTCTCCATAACGCTGCGGTCTCCATAGCTCTGCGGTCTCCATAACGCTGCGGTCTCCATAACGCTGCGGTCTCCATAACTCTGCGGTCTCCATAGTGCTGCGGTCTCCATAACGCTGCGGTCTCCATAACTCTGCGGTCTCCATAGTGCTGCGGTCTCCATAACGCTGCGGTCTCCATAACTCTGCGGTCTCCATAGTGCTGCGGTCTCCATAACGCTGCGGTCTCCATCGCTCTGCGGTCTCCATAACGCTGCAGTCTCCATAATGCTGCGGTCTCCAT